AGAAGAGACATTTTGGAAGCCACGGTCGTTCCAACAGCTTCGACGTCCCAGTTACCCCAGCCAGCTGTATAATAAAACATAACACCCCTCTGATATCTGCTACAACAAGCAGCTATGCTGTAAGCAATTCTCTCAACGCGATTTTACCATCACGCTTTTAGTTTTACAATCATGCAACTCGTTTCGTTCTCTCTTCCTCTGTTTTTACAGCGACGTCTGACGATAAATAACGCAAGTTACAATATTACACACGTAAAAGAATCCAAATAAATTTTAGAACAAAGAAAGACGGAAAGAAATTTCAATGCATCGGCGGTAAAATAGCACAGCAAAAGGTACTTTTATTTACATGTTATATCACATTTCAACCAGAAAGCGGTACCAGTGTATCGGTCTTTGAATTAAGGATGCTCCAAAGTTCAGAGGCAAATGTCGTCCCGATATTCTTGGTAAGTGATTAGAGACGGCAAAATCTAACACGGAGGAACTCCATCGTTAAACAATACAAAAATACAGTTCAGTAGAGGAGATCCTAAGAACAATTTTTATTTACTCTCATAACACTACCTCAGAGATTACTTTTCAGTTCAAAAATGATACAGGCATGAAGCATCTCTGAAACGTCGGTAAACTTCTACCAAACTGCACGGCGCAACGTCCCAAAAGACATGACATCTTCATATTAACGATCCCTCGCCGTACCTAGTTTTATTTTATTCTTCAATATTTATAAACACAGCCTTAAATATTCACTCTGGCTCAATGGCGATCCCTTTGAAGACAGGCTTCTCTCAAAATATGTATTTTACAACTTAATTATATTCTAATAACCTCCTATTGTGCTAACTATCACTTGTTATTGCAAAATACGCCAACAGGTGTCAGCACAATCGATAAACAAATTAACAAATTGCCAGGTCACACTTTTTCTATTTCACTAATTAAAAAAATATCCACCACAAAACTTGCATTTACCACCTTACAAAACCATGGACAAAGTAAAAACACGAAATAAGGAGCGGCCTTAACGTCTGTGTGTGTCCGAAAGTAACAACATCGATGTACAAAGCTCGATGCGATGTCTCGAATGTGGCAACATTCGAATAACTACGCTAAACAAGGATGGTTCTTGAGTGGATAAATCGTGGTATTAAATCAGTCATTACATTTACGAGACTGGCAAACGTTTCGCGCGAAATAAAAATTTGTATCCCATCTTGAATATTCCTCCTTTTCCGATGTTTCTGCAACCCGGAGGCCATCTGTCTACGCTACTTTTCACCACGTGAGCAGGCTCATCTACTATCTATACAACACGCAAGCGTTACTTAGTAAACTCTGTCCTCTCTAATGGTCTTCATAAATTGAGAATCCCTTATGAGATGTCTTTTAGCCATGATAATCAGAACACGTGACTTGATTTCAAATAAGACGGCTGCCAGACTATGAAATATTTTCGTAACTTTTGTATCCGCATTATAAAGAGTACAATACAATTAATAACATTTATATTTCATTACTTAACACTATAAAAATATCAAAATACTTCTTAAAAACTTATGAAGCAATTAAAACAACTTCAAAGTAGGAACATTTTCATTAGGTTTGCTCCCACGGTAGGGGATAGCACACTTTTAGGTATCACGTGATGATATTCAAGATTCACCACGTGAGCAGGCTCATCTACTATCTATACAACACGCAAGCGTTACTTAGTAAACTCTGTCCTCTCTAATGGTCTTCATAAATTGAGAATCCCTTATGAGATGTCTTTTAGCCATGATAATCAGAACACGTGACTTGATTTCAAATAAGATGGCTGCCAGACAATGAAATATTTTCGTAACTTTTGTATCCGCATTATAAAGAGTACAATACAATTAATAACATTTATATTCCATTACTTAACACTATAAAAATATCAAAATACTTCTTAAAAACTCATGAAACAATTAAAACAACTTCAAAGTAGGAACTATTTTCATTAGCGTTTGCTCCCACGGTAGGGGATAGCACACTTTTAGGTATCACGTGATGATATTCAAGACTACGTGCGTTTACTACATTAGATTCTCCGTGATTCCTGAAAGGCAATTTAATGACATCACTGTATGTGAACAGACAATCCTTCTGAACATATTTCAGGACAAACCAAATCCTTGAGACTCTGACAGTCGCTCTCTTGATCAATAAATAATGATTCATTACCGACTTCACTCTGAACGTTACATCCTCATCAACTCATTATATGAAGATCATTTCTTATCTTTCCATCCACACAGAGGTCTTCCAAATAGCCTCTTTCCTTTCCATCTTGCGGATATAATTTTAAACGCATTTCTCGTCTCCTCCATGCATACTACATTCCCGTCCAATCTTACCCTCTTAGACTTCACCGTCATAAAAATATTTTGTGAAAAGTACAAATTATGAAGCTCCTCAGTATGTGACTGTCTACATCCTGTTTCTTCCTCGCCATTATGTTTTTTATTTTTATTATTTATTTAGTGTTCTGTCTGCCGACAGGTCCATATGAACAGGATCCTTCCATCCTTTTCTCGGACTGGGACCTGTTCATATACGTTCTTGGCAGATGATCCAGAAGTGGTTTGCCATTGCCTTCTTCTGCGTGTGAA